GTATGCAGTTTATTTTCTATCTTTTCTGCATTTCCCGTTCATCTTATAGTCTTTGTCCAATAAGCCCACAAACTCTTCCCACCAGAAATTACTTTGCAGTTTTGTTTCTTTGTGTGTATATTTTGGTTTTTTTTTTAGTATTTTCTTTTGAGGGAGGAGGGGAGGAAATTATTTGCCCATATATTTGATCCAAGCAAGAAAGTGGTCAATTAACATAATAAGAACATAAAGACACTAATACCTTCTCCAAGTACGGTGCACCCCTAGAATTTGCAGCTAGGTTAGGAAATGTTACTTTAAGGTAACAAGAAATCAAATCAATATATGGCATTGTTCCTTGTGGAAATTCTTGTTGAAGTAACCCAACCTAACAGACAATTTGCAAATGTTTGCTAAAGACATTAAGAGCATCCCTAGGATCTCATCAGGGGTAAGTCAGACCAATCTGTTAAGGATTATAAAATACTGGTAAATTATGATCTTATAAAATAAGAGTTAATGCCCAGTGCAAACAGAAAGAGTCTGGAAAATGGATTGGAGAGGAAAGAAATGTTAGTAGTTAACAAGTTCTGTTCAGGGACAAGTGCCCTAATTTTTGACAGCTGGTCTTAGTTTTTTAGAAAAAAGGGTCAGTAACTCCGTGGTACTCAACCCTTAGTGTGTATCATGCGCACCTGGAGTGCTTGTTGAACTACACATTGCTGGGCGCCAGTCTCCGAGTTTCTAGGTCTGAGGCTGAAAGGGGTGGGGTGACCAGAATTTGAATTTCTAACTAGTTCCCAGCTGATGCTGATTCTACTGGCCTGGTGATCATACGGTGAGAACTAATGCCCTGTTTATCAGGCTCCCACAGCTGCCTCCCATTCCCATGCTCTGATTTTATAAATATATTGAAAAAAAGCACAACTTTATGCCATAACGTGGTTTGCTGAGCAGACCAGCCTGCATATCAGGCCAGGTGTAGTTCTAATATAGATTAAAATTGCCTGCATCCTTAACAATTAATCTGTCTCTTGTGAGCTTGCTCTTTTTTGGATCAGATCTCCAGGGCTGAAGATCTCTGGGTGAACTGACAACACTGGATTTCCAAAGTGGAGGCACGGACCCTGGAGGAAGAGGGATGACTCCACCAAGTGCAGGTCACTCTGAAACAGCCAGTCAGCAGCCTCTGCAGCAGAAGGTGGGGTTGTCAGAGGTTGAGGGCCACTAAAAACACCTGGGGTCACGCAAAGTGGGGTCAAGATACTCAAGTGCTGGTGTCCCCACGACAACATCCTTAGCCAAGGAATAGGGGCAGCTCAGAGAAAGAATTCCTGTGTCTCCCCTTACTCTATCATCCAGGCATGTAATTTTAAATTAGATTAGGAAGTGGACCCACCCAGAATTATAAAGCATTAGGAGGGGAAGTATTAGTAGAGATAGAACAGAAGTATAACCAAGTCCCCCTTCCTCCACGAAGCCTTCCCTAGTTCAAACACCGAGCTTCCTATTCTGTGAATACCCATCATAGCTGTTCATTCAACAAATGTGTGGTGAGCACCTGTGCTGGGAGCTGTGGCGTCTGGATACAATTAAGGCACGGTCCCTCATCCTGTCGACTCTACCTTGGCAATCACGTCCATCTCTCTTTGTCCATTGCTCTCTTCCCACTGCAGCCATTCAGTTCCTCATTGGCTCTTGCTGGTCTCACTCAAAAACCTTCTAACATATTCTCTCCACCTCCTCCACCCCCAAAAAAGCATGATATAACTCTTATTAGGTTAATATTCCCAAATCACAACTGCAATCAGGTCACCCTTTTGCTCAAAACTCTCAATTCCCCATTACTAACTCAATAAAATTCAAACTCCTTAGCCTGACCCCAACCTCTCTTTCCAGTTCATCCTCCACTACTCCCCTTCTCACGCCCCACCCTCCAGCCAAATCAAATGAATTGGTGTTTGTACATGCCCCATAATGTCTATTTTGGTTACGTCACTCCATTTAGAATGTCCTTCTTCCCATCCTTAAAGGTCCAATTCAAAAGTCACCTCTCATAAACCCTTCCCCAAAGTCCCACAACTAAATGTAAATTGTTCTCTGAATTCTCATGGCCCTTTAACTTTAGGCCCTTTAACCTAAGATAAATAATTTTCCAACTTATATTAGATTCCCTTAATAGCCTGTAAGCCCAAGAGCAAGATCTCTGATTTAACCTTGTACCCCTCTGTAGACCTTACTCATGGAGGCTACTCAGACATTTGTGACTGAACAAACTCTAGCCGGAATGGAATATTGTGCTAGTCTAGGAAAGGGCTGTGCAAATGTGCAGTAAGGGAAGAAAACTGCTTTTGGTGTAACATAAACTCAACTAGGGCAAAGATCTCTATTTTGTACACTGACATATCTCAAGTACTAAAAACAGTGCCTAGATACAATAGATGTTAGCTCAGAGCTGGTCTTCCTCAGCAAAAAGAGGAGGATTAGCATGGATGTTAGCTCAGGGCTGATCTTCCTCACAAAAACATAAATAAATAAAAATAAAAAAACAGTGCCTAGATAACAGGTGCTCAATACATATTTGTTGAATGCAAGAAATGGATGAAGGAAGCTTTCACAGAAAGCTTATAAACTGAGCAGTGAAAAATAGAATTTGGTTGACAGAGAAGGGCACTCCTGGGAGAGGGAAAACATGAGCTGAATGTGGAAGTGGGAGAGTACAGCTTATTCACTACACGGTAGGAAGCCCGAGGTGGCAGCAGCACAGATAATTTAGAAAGAGCGAGAGGTGAAGAAACTCGGAGTAGGTTAGGTTGTCGAAGTCTTGAGTTCTATACTAAAAGCTTGCTCTGATTTTATCAGTAGCCAGTTGAATGCGTTGCGAGGCTTTGAGGAAAGCCCATGTCCAATCTGTGTTCCAGGACAGTAACTCTGGTAGCAGAAAAGCTGTGATCAGGGGTAGGAGACCAGTTAGGTTATTGAGTAGTTCAGGTGGGTGACCTTACCTGTAGGAACAGGAAGGAGATAGGACAAATTAGAGTCACTAATGTTTGGCATTTCATTCTTCCTTAGGCATTGATTTAAATCTTTCTAACTTGATCATCCCTGTCCTTCACACAGTTCCATTTCCTATTTTCTTCTCAGTGCCTAGCAGAGCAGGCTTTCAATGGACAGGAGAAGCAGGCAAGAGGCTGATTTTGTGGTATCACTTAAGACAGTGCCTGTGTGTGCAGAGAATGACTGAGGTTTTGTTAAAATGCGGACTCTGATTCAGTGGGCCTCAGAGACTCCATTTCTTCCTAGCTCCCAGGGGATGCTCATGCTGCTGGTGGAGGGACCACACTTTGCTAGCAAGGACTTAGAATCCAGCTTGGACACGAGGTACTTAATTGTGGTAGCCCAGAAGCAACAGCACCCACGGTCAAGTGTGTGGGCTCTGAAGCAAAGACGGCCTAGGTTCACAGCCACCTCTGCCTGTCACTTCACTTCTCAAGTCTCTTCCCACATCTCATGTGTAAAGTGGGGTAATGATCGTACCCCCACAACGGGTCATGTGAGGATTAAGTTTGTTTTTCTGTAAAGAACGTTAACACAGTGCCTTGCAGCGGTGTCTACAATGCAGGAGCTTGTGGGGAGGAGGAGACTGTGGCAGGGGTTTAGGAAAGCAGCAGCAGAGGGTTTCCTGCATATAGTGAAGTTGAGCACCCTGCATGGCGTCTGCTTGACAACTTCCCTCCATGTTCACTTTCTGTAACGAGACAATCCCACCCCTTACATCAACCTGAGTTTATTTTTATCTATTTCTTTATTTAATTTCTTCCTTTTTATCCCCATATCCCACTTACTCCTCCCATGGGCAACTAGAATGCCTTTATTGTGTATCTTTTGGTTTCTGTGTGTTCCTACAAAATGTTTTGTTTTGTGTACATGCATTTTTAATTTACATAAATGGTACTGTGTTATAGATCTCATTCAATTTCTTACATTTCCCACTCAGCTTTGTATGTTCAAGACTGACCCACGTGGCCACATGTATATCTCAGCCAATATTCCTAACTGCTACCCAGTTCTTCCTGGTGCACCCACCATATTTTACCGGCCCCCTCTACCTCCCACTTTCCAACAACCCACACCCAGACTGTCTGCAGCCCTTGACCACCGCAAATTGGGTCCCATGAATAATCCCACACATGCCCTCTCATCATCTGTCCTAGGCTTAAGTAAGAGTGCAGGTCAGGCTGTGCCATCAGGCCTCTGTCACTGCTCCAGACCAGGCACCTTCTCCATGTTGGCCCCAGCAGGGTATTCGTCACAAAATGGAGAAAAACCGACAGGAGCACTTTTTCTTTTTTTGCTAGTAGCAAGTTTTATTCCAGGCAACTGCAAATCAGCAAAGGGGACACTCACATAGGACTCGGAAGCCCACTTCCATCTTCCCAAACAACAGTGGGGTAGGTATTCAACACTGAGAGACAAGCGTCTGTGGGCTTTTTCTCCATCATCTCCGGAACAGTCAGTCCCAGAACTAATTTGGCAAGTGTGTAATCTGAACAACCTCGAGAAACAACTGGTGCAATAGGAACAAACTCAAACAACCACTGGCATAAGCTGAACAACCTTAAGTAACAAAGTCGTCTTCTACCCTGGAGGCTGCAGAACCACAGCCATGACAGGGATGCAAGAGGAAGAGAGGGCGGTGGTGAGAAACCTGAACTCCCAGAAGCAGCACCATCCTCTTAGCTTCTTTACAGGACCCCCCATACTCAGCAAAGCCTTTGGGGTCTATCCTACTCTTCTCTTCCTCTCGGTCCTTCTGATTCAGTTAGCTCCATCTGAGCAGGCCAAGGACCCCACAAGAAGGAACCCAGCACTATGCCCCTGATCTCTGGCCTAACTAGTGTGGGTGGGCTAAAAGAGCCCCATAAATGATTCCCTCCTAGAGGGTAGGCCCAGTCCCCATGTTAGGAACAACTTCTACAACTCTGGAAATTTAAAAAACAAGTGTCGGACTGTATTTTTTAAAGTCAGTTAAAATCTAATTCCAAAAAAGATTCTTCAGAGCAGGATAAGCAATTCATTTAAATTATTTCTTCTACTTGTTATTAACAAAGAGACTACAAAAGAAGAGAAACAGAGGGTTATGCTTCCCAGAACTCTTCCACACACCTGCTCATTCCTTTGGCCCAACTCAACCCCATGGGAAGACCTGAAATGCTGGCTCAGGCCCTGGAACCAGCCACCAGTCCCTGTGGGGTCAGAGAGCCAACCCCAGCCCATGAGTACCAGCATGGATGGGAAAACCAGAGACGTGAAGGTGCCAAAGAGACAGCACACTCAGCAGCAGGGTCAAGACGGCAGGGAGACGCTTGGCCCCAGACTCCTCTTCCACACGGTTTTCAAGACAGCCTTTGGGCTTGTCCTGGTGCTTGGTCAAGGGAAGGCAAATCAAAGTGACCCCTCTCAGGAAGAAGTCAGTCCCTGACTCTGCACAGTGTCTCTCTGGGGGGACCAATGCCAGCCCCCTCCGCCCCCCCGACGGGCGAGGGGCTGGCACCCTTAAAGCAGGCCATTGGGCCTTCCAGGCTCCGGGGCCACCCCGCCCCGCTCCCGCTGGTGGATCTTCTGGTGCTGCAGGAGGTGCTGCTTCTGGACAAAGCTCTTCTCACACTCGGTGCAGCTGTAGGGCCTCTCGCCTGTGTGGATGCGCTGGTGCCGCACCAGATCAGACGGGTGGCTGAAGCTCTTGCCACAGTAACCACAGATGAGGGAACTCCGGCTTTTCCTCCAAGGGATGTGGCCAGGCAGGGCAACCAGGCTGTTGGGCGAGAATCTCTCCTGGACACGATGGCCAGCACTGGGCGCCTCCTGCAAGTGGCAGCGCTGGTGGGTCACCAGGCTCACCCTGCAACTGAAGCTCCTCATGCACACGGTACACTGATGCAGCTTTGCCTTCCTGGACTGTGGCTTAAGCTGTGGCCTGGGCCTAAGGCTCTCCTCTGGCTCTGAGGCTGCATAAGACTCCCACTCCGAGTGCGTCCGCAGATGTGTCGCTAGGTGCTGCTTACAGCGGAAGCCAATCTCGCACTCAGAACATTCATAGGGGCCAGAAGTGTCCCTTTTCAGCTTCAGGCCCTGCCCACATTCCTGACCCAGTTGCACCTGCCCATTAGATTTCTGCTTTGGGGGGCAGCCCAGAGTTGTGCCACTGCTAGGGTCTCTACTGTCCCCAGTGGGCTCCTCTAAATTAGTGTTCCTGAGACCTGACTCCAAGAGGACATAACTGCCCTGACCATCCCAGAGCTCAGTCTGCTCTGGGCTCAGGAAAGCCTGCTCTTCAGCAATGCCCGAGAACTCTCCAGGAAGATCCGCAGAGCCTTCCTGTGTGTACTGTATCTCCTGCTTGATCATAACCCCTTCTGCTGGCAAGGGAAAGAAAACCAACAAAAAGATCACACTCCAGCACCACCAGTTTCTTCGGAGCTAAATAAACATCTGTGAATTTCAGAAAGGCTCAAATCAAAGCACTCCGAGATCAAAGGAATTTGGACAATTAGGAGGGGGATGAGACTGACAGGACCTGAAAAACTAAACCTATACTCAGGTAGAGACATGTTGGTTGGAAATCTGAATATATTAATCTTATAGAACAATGTTATAAATGATAGTTCTCCAAGCTTGTCCACATTTTGTATTCAATCCCTGTGAAAAATGGCAAAACATACTGTGACACTATACTAATTTAAGAGAGTATTCAAATAATAAATGTGAATGATTTAAAAAAAAAAAAAAACTAAACCTATAGCTTAAAAATTCATGTATTGAGTTCTGTTCTTCCTGCCAGTTCTCCTCAAATTACCTGGCTTACAAATGCTTCTCCTGCCTCTCCCCAGTCAGCTTCACTCCTGAAGATCTGATGAACCCTATTCTTAATCTCCAGCAGGTTTGGACTATAGCCTATTATGTACTCTACCCCATAGGGCATGAAGGATTATGATACGGTCATGAGTCTGAAGGACTCCACATAGTGGCAAGCAGTTAGACACACATAAAATAGGTGAACTACCAATAACCATAAAGAAGTCTGGGATAAGTAAACGCCAGATGAGGTTGCTGATAGTCAGTGTTCAGCAGTTTAGCAGTGAGCAAGATTACTATATGCTGCAGGGGGCGGGGAGGGGTGGAATATTCTGGAGCCACTCACCTGGGTGGACACCACCTGGGCCTTCCTCCTCCAAGTTACCCAGCATCTCTGTCCCCAACTCTGCATCTCCTTCTGGCTGGCCAAGGACCTCTGGGTTGGAAACAGCACAGTGTGAGCCCAGGAGAGAGCTCACTGCACACTGGCCAGTTGCCCATGAACAGGGTGACCAATGTCAGGGAGTTGATATGAAAACTTCAAATGATTCAAAGGCTACTTGTCACTTTCCCCTAGCAGTCTGGGACAATTAGAAAATTATGGCCAATTCAAATGATCTACTCAGCAAGCTGCTGCCTTCAATGTCCCTTCATAAGTCACTTGTGGCTCAGGCGGTCAGGTTCCAGAGCCCACTATCCTTCTCCTCAACACCACCTCTTCCTCACATGTACATGGTTTCAAGTGTCGCTTCCTTGCACGGTATCCAATTTCATCTGTGCTAAAGCACTACAATAAGGTGCACCGTTAGCCCCGCTGTGGCAGACAAGGAAATAGCCATTAGCAGAACACATGACCCAAGTGAGGTCACACAGTCACCACTCTGACCCATTTGCTACTTCCCTCCCCACTCCACTCTGCTGCAGCACACTGGTCTTCCTGACACAATCCCATGATCCTATGTTTTAACAGATTTTGTCTACCAAAAAAAATGCATTTATTATGTAATAGGTAATATTTTACATAAACATTACATATAAATATTTTACATATAAAAATAGCTAAGGGGCCGGCCTGGTGGCGCAAGCGGTTAAGTGCGCAAGCTCCGCTGCGACAGCCCGGGGTTCGCCAGTTCGGATCCCGGCGCGCACAGATGCACTGCTTGGCAAGTCATGCTGTGGCGGCGTCCCATACAAAGTGGAGGAAGATGGGCACGGATGTTAGCCCAGGGCCAGTCTTCCTCAGCAAATAAAGAGGAGGATTGGCAGATGTTAGCACAGGGCTGACCTCCTCACCAAAAATTTAAAAAAAATAAAAAAATAAAAATAAAAATAGCTAATATTTTACAAATATATTTTACATATAAAGCTAATATTTTACATCTTTATATGTAAAATATTAGCTGTGAAGCAGCACTTCTAATCAACACAAAATAAACACTGAGACAACGACTGGCTATAATTCCAGCCAAATGCCAAGGAAAATTTTTTGGTTAGCCTGTGCTGCCTGCCTCATCCCAGGTAACAAAGGATTTCTTGTCAAATAGTCTTAAGTATGAAAAACAGCACGAGGAACCCCAGCCATATTACACCACAATGCATGTGATGGCATCCTATCTATTAGTCAGTATTATCAAGAACTAACTATGTGACCACAGAGAAGAAACACAAAATGCACAACATGGAAACCTCTCCAAAAGTTTCCAAAAGAAACTCCCGTTTCTCAGCCCAGCACAGGCCGACAGAGGATCCAAGGCCAAACAGAATCTCAGGTGCAGTCCGGCTCACAGCTCCTGGCAGGAACTGTAGGACATCTGACAGAGAATTCTAGGGGAAACTGCTACTTACTCAGAGAGACCAGAGTCTCATAGTTGCTCTTCATCACATTCCTGTAAAGCTCCTTCTGCCAGTCCTCCAGATTCTCCCACTCCTGCTCTGAAAAAGAGACTCCATCATTTTCAAGTGACCTGGATGCCTGAAATCACAAATGTCACACAATGAGTGCCTCCAATCACAGCCATGAAGGAAAAGCCAGCAACTTAAAATCTTAGATAACAAAAGGCTGGGCTCCCTGTCTCATCTAACTCTTAATCCTCAAGGGGACTACCTTGGGGGCCTCCCCCTTGCTGCCCGGGGGCAGCCGCAGGACCCAGAAGTTCCTGTTTCTCAGCAGGTTCTCCATGTTCTCCAGCCGCCTCTGCAGCAGCCCGTACTCCTGCAGCAGGGTCCCCAGGATGGCCCACTTGCCCTCCAGCTGGTTCCCGAACTCCACGGCCATCTTCTCGCAGTCAGACAGCTTCTTCTCTGCTGTCCCCGTCCGTCCCTCCAGGCTCTGGAGCTGGGCAGCCTGGGACTCCATCTTCGTCTCCACGGCCTGAATGGCAGCCACCACTGTCCAGAGTGAGATCTCCGTGGTCTGCAAACAGGAGCTTTTCTCTGTTGCTTGTGGGGACAGTGTGGAAGAAGTCAAAGGTGTGGAGTGGTGCTTCCTCCTGTGCTGAAGAATCAGACATGGGGTCAGTCAGTGTCATTTCCAAACATCCAGTAAAGAAAACAATGCCCATGTGCGCGCAGGAGCACGTAGAGTACCTAGTTTCTACTTTTTTTTTAAAGCATGTTCTTTTGTTTCCTGATACTGCAAATTATACACGCACATTGTATTCAGAAAATACCGAAAAGCAGAAAAAAAAGTTATGTAAAATACCACCATCTAGAAATAAGCTGTTAGAATTTTGGTGTATTTCCTATAAGTTTTTTTCACCTTTTAACTTATTTCTTCTTCAACAAAATTGAAATCATATTGTACATAACGTTTTGTTACCTGCGTTTCACACTTAACATATTCTATAAGACTTTCCCATGTCGGTATTCATTTTCCAAACCTATTTCTTTCTAGTTGATATTTTGGACTATTTGTAATGTTTTGCTATGATAAATGATTTAATTTACACCCACTCTTGACTCCACATTCCTGCCAGACTTTATAGTTGATCATGTCACTCTCGCTGAAAACCTTTCAACGGCTTCCTACAACAAAGACAAGATTCCTTAGCAGGACCTACAAGACTTACCCATTCATCTTTGCACCCTAGCAGCTAGTACAGTGAATAAAATTTATTAAATCCTTAATAAGCATTTACTGAAATGATATGACTAAATCTACCGATATTTTCCTTATACTTCTCATTTTTATGGTCTGTCCCCAACAGTAGGAAGATTACTGTGGATGATGCTCAAAATTACTAAACCCAACCCTTGGGCAGTCTGCTTGAAGCTGCCCTCTTACCCTCATTGTCCCACTGCTTGTTCACGTCAGTCCTAAACCCCTCAAAGCTTCGTATTCTTTTATGTGGCACACACTTTATTCAAGGCCATTTCTCTAACCACAATGAGGACACTGAGAGGAAATGTCTCTGGAAGAACTGCTGGGCCGGGCTTATGGTCTGGAGAAACAGGACAAAAGGAAACCGACTGGCACAGAACTGAACACTTAAGCTTAGCCATGACCTACTCTGGTTAACCAACCCACTCAGTTCATTATCAAACATATGGGTCAAAAGCTTAAATATCCCCCCTAAAAAAGATTTAAAGAAAAGTTTAATGTAAAAGATAAATACAAATGAAATAAAACAAAACATTAGATTATTAGATAAATTTATTTCATCACACGTTCTGCTTTTAACTTTAAGTCTCTAGCTTTTTGGAGTCTCCTCTTTCCTTTCTGTGGCCCAGCATTTTGTTGCTTGCTAACACTTTTTCCAAACAGGAAGGTGGGTCAGGGTCTGAGCAGAGGAATAACATCCTCCTCCACATAGTAAAAGGCTGAAAAGAGGAGTTAAAACCCAGTTTCTACTTCTCTTCTGTTTTGAATTATCTATCATGATGGAAACAATTCAAATGTCCATCACCTGGTAAACGGACAAACCAAGTGCCATCCTTCCATATGTTACGGGTTGAATTATGTCTCCCCCCCAAAATAGGTTGAAGTTCTAACTCACAGTACCTCAGAATGTGATCTTATCTGAAGATAGTCTTTACAGAGCTAATCAAGTTAAAATGAGGTCATGAGGGTGGGCCTAATCCAAGATGATTTGGGGTTCTATTAAAATAGGGGAAATTTGGACACAGAAACAGACACACAAAGAGGAAGGACCATGTGAAGACACACATAGTGAGAAGCCAACCACCATGTGAAGATGGAGGCAGAGGTTGGCGTTATGCTGCCACAAGCCAAAAAAATGCCTGGGGCCACCAGAAGCTATGAGAGAGGACTGGAACAGATTCTCCCCCATGGCCTTCATAAGGAACCAACCATGTGGACACCTTGATCTCAGACTTCTAGCCTCCAGAACTGAGACAATACATTTCTGTCTGTAAGCTACCCAGTTTGTGGTACTTTGTTACAGCTGCCCTAGAAAACTAATATACCATATAATAGAATACTACTCAGCAAGAAAAAGGAACAAACTATTAACACATGTAACAACATGGATGAATCTCAAAAGCATTATGCTAAATGAAAAGCCAGACCACAAAACGCTACACACTGTATTCCATTTACACATCATTCAGGAAAAGGCAAAACCATAAGGACAGAAAACAGACCTGTGATTGCCAGGTGCTGGGGGTGGGGAGGAGACTGATTACAAAAGGGCACTTTCTGAGATCTTGGTAAAATGATGGCTACACATTTGTCAAAACTCACTGAACTGTATGCCTAAAGAGTGAATTTTAGGGCCAGCCCCGTGGCTTAGCAGTTAAGTGCGCGCGCTCCACTACTGGTGGCCCGAGTTCGGATCCCGGGCGTGCACCGACGCACCACTTCTCCGGCCATGCTGAGGCCGCATCCCACATACAGCAACTAGAGGGATGTATAACTATGACATACAACTATCTACTGGGGCTTTTGGGGGAGGGGGGAAGGAGGAGGATTGGCAATAGATGTTAGCTCAGAGCCGGTCTTCCTCAGCAAAAAGAGGAGGATTAGCATGGATGTTAGCTCAGGGCTGATCTTCCTCACAAAAAAAAAAAGAGTAAATTTTACTGTACGTAAACTGTATCTCAGTAAACAGGACTTAGAACGTCAAGGCAGGAAAAAATGTTAGCTGTCATAAAAAACACTAGAACAAACAGGGAGACAATATTTATAAACAGGATATGATACAGAAAGAAAAAATAACCCAAAAATAAAACTGCAGACTATAACTGTGAAAGTGGAAATGCAAGTGGTCAATAAGCAAATGAAAAGACAACCACATTAGCAGTCAGGAATGCAAACACAACCAAGTGAAACCACTTTTCACCCACCAGATTCAGAAATATGAAAATGAGGGACAAGGAACAATAATCAGAGCTGACTATGATGAGGTAAAACTGGCACTTTCATAACACTCCTGGAAGGAATGAAAAATACTACACACTTTTAGGGAAGAAAATCTCAAAAAAGTCATTAAAAACCCTTTCACCTAGTAATCCCACTTATGGGAACCTATCTTACAAAACTAAATGGCATTATTGTTCAAAGACATACATATGAAGATGATTACTGGTAACATTCTTTGGAATAGCCAAAACCTGGAAACAATCTAGATGTCTATTAATAAGGGAATGGCTAAATAAATTATGGCACAACCAAAGATGATGTCATACAACTGTTAAAAAGAATGAGTTAGAGCTATATGTACTGTTTGGAAGAGTGTTCATCATACAGTAGTAGGTTAAAAATCTAACTTTTAGGAAAATATATTTATTATGATACCGTTTTCCTAAAGAAGAGAAAATATATGTGTATATGTTTGTTTTAGCACACAGAAAGGTTTGGAAAGATATTCACCAAAGTATATTGTTAACATGAGCTATATTCAGGGGGACGAGAGGGAGGGATTTTAATCTTTGATTATAAACTATTGCTTGTTTGATTTTTTCAATAAACATGTATTCTTTCCTAATTTTTTTTCTTAAATTCCATATTTAAGAGTATTCCTAAAAGCAGTGAGAAATACAAAAAGGATACTTATACTGACCAGATTTCTGGATTTTCTGGGACAGTCCTGCTTGAATAGTGTATCATATTGTCAGATCATGTATCATATAGTGGGACTGCAGCTATGGTCTGAAACCCATGACCATTAAGTACAAGACACAATCCCTGTTGTTAAGGAACATACAATCTGCTTGTGTGAAACACAAAACAATTAAACAACATTCTAAAGTGATACTTGATTAAGTTGGACTAGATGATATTTAAGGTCACTTCCAACTCTGAGATAAGACGACTTTCTGAAGAGAAAAGACGAATTTTTAATATTGAATAGTTTATTCAAAAGGTATAAAGTAGTGACAACAAATCTTTACGTAACCACCACTCAGTTAAAAAAATAAATTAAAAAATATATAGGGCCAGCCCTGGTAGCCTAGTGATTAAGTTCAGTGCGCTCTGGTTCAGTGGCCCAGGTCAGTTCCTGGGCGCAGACCTTCACCACTCGTCAGTGGCCATGCTGTGGCAGCAACCCACATACGAAACAGAGGAAGACTGGCAACAGATGTTAGCTCAGGGTGAATCTTCCTCAAGCAAAAAGAGGAAGATTGGTGACAGATATTAGCTCAGCGCAAATCTTCCTCAGCAGAAAAAAAAATATATATATATGTATCACATATGTATATACACACATATACACATACACATATGTGTATCACTTTTGCAGTCCTTTGTGCAACTCTCTGAAGTAACTACTATCCTGAATTTGGTTTTTTACTATTAATTGCCTTTTTTTATGTTTTACACCATATGTTTGTTTCCAAAACAATATGTTCTTTAGTTTTGCATGTTTTAGGATTTTATATAAGTGGAATCATTCTTCTACAACTCCTAGGAATAGCTTGTAATTGCAGGTGGCTGTAATTAATTCATTTTCACTGCTGTATAATATTCTATCATGTGACTATACCACAATTTATTTTTCCATTCCACTATCAATGTGTCCCCATCTTTGTCATTATAAACAGTGCTATGATGAACAGGATTGTACATGCCTCCTAGTAGACATGGGCAAGTTTCCCTAGGGTATAGTCCTAGGAAGGGAATTGTTGGCTCATAGGGTATACACACATACTAAACTTAAGCAGATAATGCCAAATGTTTTCTAAAGTGATTGTACCAATTTCACTCCTTTCAGAAATATATATGTATTCTGGCTGTTCCACGATTTCACCAACATTTGTTACTGTCAGACTAAAATTTTTATCCCTCTAGTAGACCTGAAATGTACCTCATCATGGTTTTCATCTGCTTTTTCCTTGATTACTGACAAAGGATAAGCATCTTTTTTATGTTTATTGGCCATTCAGATTTCCCCTTCAGTGAACTACCTGCTGAAGTCTTTTATCCATTTATCTTTTGGGTTATCTGACTTTTCCTTATGGTCTCATAAGATTTCTCTGTAAATTCTAGATACTAATCTTTATCAGTTACATGTGTTACAAATATCTTATTTGTGCCTCCTTTTTTTTACTCTCTTTATTACCATTTGATAAAAAGTTCTTAACGTTAATGGAGTTGAGTTTTATCAGTGTTAATTCTTTTATGGTTTGAACTTTCATGTCAGGTGTAAAAAAAATATCTGTATCTCACAATACTGCCTTCTAAATACTTTAGTTTGACTTTCACATTTAAGTATTTACCTCAACTAGAATTGATATTTGTGTATGGTGCAAGGCTCAATTTTGATACGGGAAATCAACAGATCTAACTATCAGGAAAAATCCATCATTTACCCACTGGTCTATAATGCTATCTCTGTCATAAATCAAGTTTTCATACATTTCAGTCTGTTTCTGGCACCTCTCTTCTGTTCCACTTTCTATTTTCTATTGCTTTACCAATATGACTGTTTTAATGACCACAGCTTTTTAATAATTATTGATATCTGGTAAGGCAAGTCCCACCTCCTTGTTTTACAGGAGTATCTTGACTATTTTTGGCCTGTTGATATTCTACAAACTTGAAAGTTTTCACAAAAATATCTTGAGAGATTCTGTCTGGAGCTGCATCTAATCCACAGATAAATTTGAGAAGTGACATCTTTAGGATAAAATGTTTCAATCCATACACATAGTAAACACTCCTTTTTTAAGGTATTTTTAATATACTTTGATATTTAAACATATTCCCTAGGTACCTGTCCAATCATCAATTGCTGTATAATAAATAATCCCAAAATTTAGTGGCTTAAGACAACTATTTTGTTCATGAATCTGCAATTAAAGAAGGGTTTGGCAGGGACCATTTGTCTCTGCTCCACTCTGTGTTAAGTGGAGCAAATCACAGGCAGGCAGGCGCTGAAATCACCTGAGGAACCCCAAGACATATGTAGAGGGCACATGGAGATTTCTGCCTGACAGCCCTACCTAAGGTCCCACTTTACAGTCAGTATCAACCACCAGACATGCATGAACACCCTTTCATTTCTAATAGGGATTTTTTTAACATTCTCTCTTTTTTCTTCATTAATATCACTATACATTGAAATTATATATTGATAGATATATGGATAAAAGAATTAATCATATCCTCTATATCTGTACTGTCCAATATACAAAACATGGTTGTTTAAAATTAAATTGTAAATTCAGTTCCTCAGTCACACTAGGTACATTTCAAGTGCTCAATAGCCACATGTGACTTGTGGCTACTATACTGAACAGTACAGAGAGAATATTTGCATCATCTCAGAAAGTTCTATTGGATGCACTACAACCTTACTAATTTTTTTCTGCTTGATAAAATACTAAGATTGTATTAAAATCTTCAACTATGATAGTGAATTTTCCTTGCAGTTCTATCAATTTTTGTTTTATATACGTTGAGGCTATATAATTAGGTGCATATAACAAATGTCATATCAAGCTGGTAAATTGAGTCTTTTACCATTTTAAAAGTAGTAGTAGCCCTCTACCTCTAGCAATATTAATATAGTTAAGCCAATTTTCTTTTGATTAGAATTAACCTGGTAAATATTTTCATATCCTTTTAGATTCAACCATTTTTATAGCTTTATCTTTTACTTGTATCTCTTATAAACCATATAGTTGGATTTTTCCCCCATCCTGACAATCTTTGCCTTTTAACTAGAACATTTAGTCCATTTACATTTATTGTAACTGTTGATCTATTTTTATTTACTTTTACTTTTTTTGTGCTATTTATCCCATCTTTCATCTTCTTTCTTGCCTTCTTTTAGATTTTTTTCTTATTTTATTATTCCCTCTTTTAATTTCTAAGTTATACAGCCAATTTCTAGTCTTTTAGCGACTATCCTACAAATTACAGGAAGCGCACTTACAAAGACCTTTAAACATTAGAATTCTGATCATCTCCTTTTACAATGCTGCCGTGTATTTTAATTCTGCCTTTGTTTTTAACCGCATAAGAGATTATTACTATTTTAGTCAACATTTGTTTAGATTTACCCATTTGCATGGATCATCGTACTTGCTTACATTTTCAGACTTTCCATTTTGGGTAATTTCCTTTTTTTTCCTCCTGAGGAAGATTTGCCCTGAGCTAACATCTGTGCCAATCTTCTTGTATTTTGTATGTGAGTTGCCCCCACAGCATGGCTGATGAGTGGTGTAGGTCTGCACCCAGGATCCGAACCTGCGAACCTGGGCCACTAAAGCAGAGCACACCAAACTTTAACCACTATGCTACAGGGCTGGCCCTGGGGATAATTTTCCTTTTACCTGCAGTATATCCTTCAGAATTTCCTTTAATGAGAGTGTATTAGTAGCAAACTGTCAGTTTTAATTTGTCTGAAAGTATCTTTATTTTACCCTTGTTTTGAAAGATACTTTTGCTGAGTATAAAAATCTGGGATCACAGTTATTTTCTTTCAGCCTATTGATGATATCATTCTATGGTTGTCTGGCTTCCATTGTTGCTCTTGAGAAGCTGGACTCCATTAGTTAAAGTTCATTTGAAGGCAGTCAGTCTTTTTTCTTTGGCTGCTTTTAAGAATTCTCTCTGCCTTGTATCCTGCACTTTCACTATTATGTGTCTAGGTAGAGATTTCTTTTTATTTATCCCGATTAGGATCTACTGGGTTTCTATGTATTAGCATTTGCATCAGTTCTACCATATCCTCAGCCATTAGCTATTCATCCAATATGGCCTCCAGTGCAAACTGTGTGTATGTTTTCCTTCTGGAATTCTAATATGCTTTTCTTCTGGAATTTCAGTGTCTGAAATCATTGAAGGCCTAGTTTTATTGCCCATTATTTTTACTGGCTTCTCCTTGTAGCTTTTCATTGCTTGTTTGGTAATTTTTTATTGTGAATTCATTTTTTTTGGACTTTTATCTATAAAAATTATTTGAAGTCTGAGTTAAATGTAGACTCCCACAGAAAAGATGTGTGTTCTTTTGTGATAGCTGGAGGCTATACTTTAAACTAAATTCTTGGCTTGAAGTTTCTTGGACCATCCAGGTCACATGAATTCAGGCAATAAACCCAATTGAGGGTCACCATGAATTCCCAAGGGGCACCTTGTACCCATCTCTCAGCACCAAGATTTGACATAATTTTCTTTGCAATCACCTGGGGTAAGTGCTTACTTTCATCTCACACTGAATGCTGTCCTTTGAAGTCTCAGCTTTATGGGGCAGAGACAGGAGACTTCTTGGACTCCCCACCTTAGGCCCTGAGTTTTGCCTTCTATTTTCTAGGCCCTTGAGGTCATAAACACCACAGATGAATGCTCAGCAAATGCCCTCAAAGTTGGCTTCAGAACTCTGCTTACCTCTTAAGAGTTCCCTCCTTCACTTAGTTTTTGGGCTCCAAGTATTCTTTACTGACATACATTTCAAATATGTTTGTGTTTTTTTCACCAGCATTTTTAGTTGTTTTCATCAGGCCATACTGTCATCTGAGAGGTACAGAATCCTCATCTGAAGAGAGAATGCCTGAGAAGAGAAATATGCTCAAGGACAATTTAAATACATTCTACAATGACAGATCCATAAGTTGCTTACAGCGTTTGGGATATGGGATTGTTTACAGTTTGGGATTGGGGAGGATCTTTAAGATTGCCTTTTAACAAGCTCTGTTGATGACATGTAAGTAACTATGCACTGACCAGTCAGGAAGAAGTACTCTGGAAGTCAGTAACTTGCCCTCCTGCTCCACTTTAGTACTAACTTGGTCTTGAGGAAAAGCCAAGTCTTTGACTGAATCACCTTAGCTTAAAGGAGTCAGATCAGGTAAATACTGTGAACATTTGTGTGTTGTTTTCACAATTCAACTGTAACTTCCCTGAAAGCAAACACTGTCTCTCTTTCAATCCTTTCCCTCTTAATTCCTACCCACTTCCTACAAGAATCAAATATATAGTGCATCCTCCTCATGGTAAAGTTTTCATCACAGGATCTCCTTAGCCCCCAATTCTCACCAAGATCTCACATGATTCTGAACATGTTTCTAGACCAAGAAATGTTGCACTAAAAACCAATTAAATTCCATCTGCCCCTTCCAGAGCAAAACCTCTTATATTATCAAACTAACCACTACTTTGGAATAATGTCAGAGCTGGCAGAAACCTTAGAGATCATCTAGCAACTAGTCCAACACTCTCAATTTACAGCTAAGGAAACGGAGCCCCAGAGTGAACACAGCTGCCTAAAATCACTAACCTGGACAGCTGAGAGCTGAGTTATGGCTGAAATACAGTTCACTGACCCCATCCCTAGGATTTTCCTCACCCCAAGCTCCGTGTCTTGACAGTCTCTGAATGGGGATGTTTGGGGGAGGGGGAGGGGGACGAGGAGAGGGAGAGCGATTAGATAGCTTCACAAACAAAACCCAGTAACTACACCGTGAAATAACACCTGTCCCTAAGGAGAAGAAGCCAGCCTGACTTCAGCCTGTGGCTGCGACCCCAAGACATAAGTCTGTAGCAAGACAGCGTAACAGAAGGAACGATCGAAACATATTAGGCCATGAACGAGCTGGCGCGGAGAGGCAACAAGTCCTGGGGTCCCGGAGCACCGGGCGAGCTCCCTGGCAGTGATGGGGACCTAGGGCTTCCAACCCGCGCCCCCTCTCCAGCCTGGAAACGGGCTCGCTTTTGGCACGACGGAGAAAACGCGTGGTGACGGTCACAAATCCAAGAACATGAAACAAGCCTCAGAGAAGTTTCTCGGCGAAGGCGCGTGGCGCTGGGACTCCGGCCCGACGCGGCGGGAACCGGAGAGGGGGCGGCAGAGCCCTGGGGTCGCGCGGGAGGTCGGTGTTCACCCGCGCCAGCCGCAGCCCGGGGACGCCAGCCCCGCCGGGTCCAGACTCGAAGCCCCGCCCCGGCCAGGGGCTCCGCCATCCCGACACGACCCGAGTCCGTGCCAGCAGAACTCTTACCCGAGCAGGCGCCGACTCCGCCATGGCTGCCAGCCGCCCCTCAACACCCAGGCCCCGCCTGATACCCCTCGGGCTGCGCGCGGTCCGCTGGGCACCCCCGACCCCTCCTGGAAGCCGCCCGCGGCGCCGTGTTGATACACGGTGCATTGTGGGAGTGCGACCCTCCGGGGCCAAGACGGGCTCCAGCCCCTCGTCCTCATCGAGCGGGATTCCCACTGCGCCCCCGTGCGGCAGGAGGGTGAACAGCACGAGGCGCCACGGGCCTGAGTGCGGGAGACCCTCCAAGTCCAGCGCAGGTTCAGAATTTGAGGCAAGCCCACCGGCCTTTGTGTGTCTTCTACATGCCCAACACTCTACTAGGTGCTTTGAGGGATTCAAGAATGTATAAAACTCAGACTTCGCTGAGGGAAGAACATGTAACCTAGTTGAGGAAAAGAGGTATGGTCCCAGACGGCAAGTGGTTTTATTCCAAAATTTCACCTGTTACTTCACTTTTTAGAAACTAGAGACATACTTCCCATATCAAAGTGTGGGATCAGGTGCCCAGGCCAACCCACTGGAGCCTATTAATTATGGTAATCACATTCCTTGGAAAATCCAAGATAGCCCTGATTTCAAATATTTAATCCAGCCAGCATGCTACTTGTTAGAGCGTTCAAAGTTTGATTTGGAAGGCATGGCTGCATTACTATTTCATCACACAATACACAACACTCCTGCAGCCATACATGCCTACTTTGTGCCACATTGACTATAGACAGGCAATGGACTTCCACTTCAAATGATAGGCAAGAAGCGCTGCCCCTGAGAACTAAACTCGTAAGATCAACAGAAAGTTCACATGACTGGTTCCTTCTTAGCATGCAGGGCTCAGTTCAGACTTTACCTCCTCAGAGAGACATTCCCTGTCCACGTTGTCTATAGCCCAACACCTCCTTCAGCCCAACGCTCAATCTAGTTGCCCTCCTTGAAATTTCTCATAGCATTTATCACTATCTGAAACAATCCTATTTTTCATTAGTTTACATGTTAATTACGTCTCTTTCACTAAAATGTCCCTCCACTGTATCCTCCATTTCTTGCACACAGAAGTGCTCATAAGTATTTTTGAATGATTGAATGGTGAATCAGGGAGTAAGGATAGGAAACGTCAACTCCAAGAGAAGATATGATGTCCAGGGCAACCAGATCGACAGGGGATTGATTGAATCACTAATTCATCTAAAGAAAGAATGGGCCCAGCTGAGGGAACTAGTCAGCCACGGAGATACTGTCCAGGGTCTGACCTACTGTCTCAGGCCAACAAAAACTTACTGTCAGATACAGAAAAAAAATGTATCACGGTTGTGGAGACAGACATACCAGACCACAGGATACTGAGGTCATTAAGCAGTTCAGCTATAGAACTCACGCCCTCTATTCTGTTTCTATGCTCACCAAGCAACCTTCTGATGATGCAGGTTTCTGTGTGGCTACTGGGAGACAACATGCGAGTCAGGCTGATGCAAATGTCCGGTCAACTCATGGACATTATTAAACTGATTCTCTGGCTTATCCATGAATCTCATGAAAGTCAGCATGACTGAGCATCCCTGACTCTGAGCCTGGAACTCTGGAAAAATATTTAGATCCAACTTCCAACCCGCAAGGGAGGCAGCACCAGGCACTGGTCTGCAGCCTCACGGGGTTGTGGAGAAGGTGTAGCACAGTGATTCAGAAAGTGGGGCTGAGGAGTGAGACCATCTGGGGCCCTAGCCCAGTGCTGCCACTTACAGGATGTGGACCTTGGGCAAGTCATTAACTTCTCAACACCTCCGTTTCCTCATTATTAGTGGGAAATAGTAGTACCACTTATCTCATAGAGTTGCTGTGCGGGTTAAATGAGTTACTTCAAGTCAAGTGCTTAGAACAGTGTCTATCACAGGTTAAGAGCTCAAGAAGCACTCCCATCGCTATTCTTCTTTGCGTCCCGGCTCCTTCACTTACTAAGTGAGGTGGCTTGTGCTCACTCTGCCTCAGTGTCTTCCCATGGAGAACACGAACACCACACCCTAAGGTGGTTGATGGAATTTAAAGAAATAACATGTAAGTAAAGTGCTTATGTAGCTGAACGCCGGGCATATAGCAAGCACTCAGGAACAGGCAGTTTCTCGTTTCTGGTTTGTTTTTGCTTTGGCAAGGTCCAAGCCTTGCACTGCAATGAATTCACCAAGATAAATGTCACCTTGTTGTGTCTCCTAGAAGCCACACACTTGTCCTTTCCCAATGACACTCAGATCTTGACACATGCCTTTAAATAAAGTTTTAAATGAGGTTTATAAATATTCTCACTGGTGGTAGTAGAGATTAGAGGAATCAAGAAAATATACTTAGTCCCTGTATCCTGTCATCTCTATAGCCGTAGAACATGAATGTAACACGCAGAGCTGAAAGTGACCTTAGACATTCACCCACACCCTCATTTTTCGTGACAGAAGAAAGTACTCTTTGAATCACAAGTAATATAAAGTTTAAAATAATGCTTTAAAAATACCTATCTTCTCCTTTAAATTTTCTATCGTGTGTATGATTTACAGCATACATTTTAACATATATATGTACACATATGTATGCCCAAATGTTTTTTCACTCAAGAAAGTTTATAGACCACAGCTCTATTCCACTCAGTTGAGATCCTTTTTATTCTGTTCCCCTTGCTAGCCTGCAAGTCTCTAGATGGCAGGGAGCATGTCTTTTGTGCTCCTTCTCTCGCATAAATAACCCCCGGGGAGCATGCCCCCACCAGGCTTCCAGGTCAGTGAGAATCCTGGAATAAATACGCCTTGGATCTAGCTGCCCCCCTGCTGTATATATGTGCGTAGTGGACATCGGTTAACTTTGTCAGCCTTGCACTTCTCCCCTCCTCTGGGCATAAATGCACCTCCTTTCCTTTGAGGACGGCTCCTCCCTGGGCTCTGGCCACGTAATTTGAATGGGTGCTGCCATCTTGTTCTGTGACAATTCCAGTCCTGTCACAGTGACTGAAGGGCGGGCATCTGACTCCAGCCAGCCCAATCATAGCACCCTAGCCTCCTGTTCACAGTAATTGAGCCAGGGGTGGACATATGACCCAAGCTGGACCAATCAGAGCTTTTCCCTGGGATCTTTCCAACTGGAGCTGAGGGAACAAGTTAATTTCCTCTCTGGGGAAGCTACAAATAAATACAAGTCAGGAGCAGTCCTGTCTCCCTTTTTCTTTCGGAGTAACTTGATTTGAAAGAATGATCCCAACACATGGAAAGGAGCAGAGATGAGAGACAATTTTTATCTCTGTCCAGGATTGGTTATTCAACAGTTCCTTTGAGTCTGTGAATGATTTTAAGTTCCTTCCAGAAACTTCCCTTTTCTTGGTTGGGCTGTCAGCTTCAGGTAGGGTAAGTGGATGAGTGGGTGACAAGATTTTTTATGGCACATCTTTTTATACATTTTGAATTTTGAATGTATTAATGTAAAAATCTATTCAAAACTTCATTAATTTTGATTAAAAACTGGTACAGAATTCCTCTTAGGGAGAGAACGGTGTTTTGTTTAGCAAGAGTTTTACTGGCCATTTTAATTATGGAAAAATAGGGCCCAGGGCAAGACTTTAAAGGCAGAAGGTGAGCAAAGATAGAACTAAATTGCTCTCCAAAGTAAATTAGGGTTTGGGGATTTCCCTGGGCATCCTGGGAGAGAGGGAGTGAGGGACTTCAGAAAGGGAGAGAGGAGCTACTCTTTGGAGAGGCAGGGAAAATACAAGATTGAGAAGGGGAGAGGCGAATTCCAAGAAATTCCTGATGGTGAGAATGGTTCAAGGTCTTTTAAGAACAGAGACGGGGAATATTTTAGGTCTAATTTTGGATCGTTTCCTGCGCTAGGCTGAGATGAGACCCTCTCTGCAACCTCTGAAGGATAAGTCTACTACACATAAGCATCTTATCTGGGGAAGGCAAACAAAGGAAAGGTACAGAGCCCCACTGTCTGGCTTAACGCCGAGGAGAGAGACCAGCAGTGTGAAGGCAGATACACGTGAACCTGAGAATCCAGAAAGCATGAGTTACCAAAGAAAACAAACCTCTCCTCGCCCCCAAATCCTTGAGATGTGGGGCACAGGCTACTGGCTTTGACACCACATGTAGGATGAGGACTCAAGCCACTTTATGGTTAAAGGATATTGACCCCATAGGGATGGAAGGCATGGGAACAGCCAGGTCACAAACACTGGCTTACACTTCTAAGCCTGGATATAGGATCTCCCTTGAATCTTGAACAGAAGACAAACCAAAGGCAGTCTTCTTTTAGAACACGAGATAGTGAACCTACAGAGATGATTATGCTGACGGATGATATGGGTTTAAAATACGTCTCAAGAGGTTTGAACAGAGGGTCTCAACCTTTAGGACACAGTGCCAGCACTTCATTAGAAGATTTTTATGGAAGGGGACCTACGGCAACCTTGCACAGTGGGGTAAGATTCTGACACACACCCAGGACCCCACTTCCTGAGAATGACTGCTTTAGAAATATCCTTCCTTACTGGCTCCCTAAGGAGTTAGTGGCAGATGGAACAACAGCCATGGCCTTCCCCAAACTGTCCCCGTCAGGGCCCTGGCCTGACAGGATGCTCTGTTACGTTCTCTTCTAACAATAACAATCAGATGGACCAATACTGTACAAGTTGGCACAAGCTGGTTCATCTTGGGCATGGTGTGAAGTTTCCTTTTCCCCCTTACTCTCTGCCAACACCCACAGTCCAGGAACTGGGTCTCAGAGCCAGTTATGGTACCCAAATCCTTGATCGTAAGATAACTTTACCCATGGCTTTTCATTTTCAGTGGTGTCTAGCTTCAACTTGCCTTCTCAAGACTTCAGTTTTCATCCTCTCTGACCTTCTTTTAGAACTATGCACTCTGCTTCTACGGAGTTCTAAGGGGGCTCTCTGGGGGGCCTGTGGCACAGCGGATCCCAAGGTAATTGGCAGCCTGTCTATGGAACAGATTTGGCATTCAAGGCCCTCCATGGCCTGGCCGTGACTCACCTTGCAACTACCTCACCTACAACTTCTTCACACCCCTGGCTCTGGCCAGGCCAGTCTCCTGCCTTACAATCCCAACTCCCGCCTCCCTGCCACATCGCATCCTCAGCCCACACTGCTTCCTCCCTTCCTTTCCCCTGCCCCAGGCAACTCATATTTCAGGCCCTCACTTCCCCAGTTCTGGAAAAACATATAAGAAGCTCTTAGCAGCAGATGCTTCTCAACAGGGAGTCAGGTAGGAAAGAGTTTTACTCTTCGTTGTCTTTTTTTTACCATTTGAATTTTTACTGCATGCATTTTTAATTAAAATAATTTTAATTAACACATTATCAGAAGGAAAATAAAAATCTACCCCAAAAGACCCCTGTCCTGCTCCAGTAAGTGGACTGCAGGGTCCACACTGAGGATCCTTGCTGCCTGGGAGAGGTCCGCACTGAGTGTCACCACCTCTGATCAGCTCCAGGGGTGCAGCTCACTCTAGGACCCTCCTAGGGCTGTGCTGAGGCTCGTGATGCAGCTGATGGGCACCTCATGTGGTGTCTCCACCACAGGAGGACGCAGGAAACCAGACACTGGTCTCGGCTCTCCCACTCTCTCAGTCACTAAAGCTCTTTGGGAATCAGCTCCTTGAGGGTAAAACAAAGGGACGGACTCAAGCTGTGTGCTCAAATATTTCAAACTCAAGTCTCAATAGTGATTTCTCCCTTCTTCGTACTCTCAACAGCCAAAAAAATTTTGTGGGTCTTATTTTCCATGATTTAGATTATGAAACTATTGATTTTCTGCATGTGCTTTTGAAAAGCAGAATACTGCCCCCTCCCAACCAAAACACTGGACTAGAGCGTCCCCTTCTGCTCTAACAAAACTCCATTGAACTCGTCTATGTTTAATTTCTCATCTCAATTCAATTTTTTAAGATTTGCCTCCTTCAAAAAGCAGAATGAAGAAAAAAAGAAATTCCAGTTAGTCGGATTCCAGTTCCCATATGACGCCACGCTGGAAAACCCTCTGGCCTTGTGAACATGCAGTCTGCAATCTGGACACCTTTTATTTCATTTCAAGAATTCCCTTTGCATGGCAAAAAGGGGTCTGAGGAAAGCAGAGCGGTGCAGAGGAGGGGAAGGGCAGAAGCAGAGCGCTCACAAACTTGGTGCCGGGTGCTGACTGCCCACTGTGCTCCCTGGCTGGGAGAGAAGCAGGGTTGATGGGAGGAGGAGGAAAAGTCATTTTGACACAAACAAGGGTCCTGGGGCATGCCACCCCACCCCAGTGCCAGGCCATGCAAGATGCAGAAATGGAGACTATGGCCCCTCAGGACCACGGAGCAGATGCACCAACACAAAAGGGAGTCCTCTGGGCGCCTCCTGAGGCGCCTGCAGGGTCTGGAGCACGGCGGGCTCTGTGTCCATGTCCGTGAGCACGGTCAGTTAACAGATAGCACCGGTTGGGAGGCTCAAGGCAGGAGAGAGACTGAGGGCTCTCAGACTCTAGCACCCACTTGCCTGGCCCTCCTGGGAAGAGGCTCACTTCCTCTGTGGCTGCTCCTGCAGCACGAGCCTCTCCCTCACCCCTCTGCCCTGGGGAAACTGGAATAAATCATCAGGCTGAGGTCTGACCCAGAGCACCAGCTGCCTCTGGAGGGCCAGGTCACTACTGTGCAGTGCAAAGATGCTGCTGCACCAGATTGAGGGACTGGAAGGGAGGGGACAGGCT